AGATTCAGCCTCCTGATTCGGGCGACCTTGCGGGATAGATCGTTCTCTTTCGTCAGGTACTTCTGATCGCCGTTGTTACGACAGTCGGATGAAAGATTCATCGGCTGTTCAGGACAGAAATGCTTCTCGAAGAGGGCAATCGTACGCGCTGCCGAGCCAGGAAATGCAAACACATATGTGTATACGTTGGAAATCATGTGTACACGTACGTATATGTATACATATATATATATATATATATATATATATATATGTGCGTGTGCGTGCGTGCGTGTGTGTGTGTGTGTGTGCGCGCGCGCGCGCGCGCGCGCAGAGTTTTATAATAAATTCCCGCATTTTTTGTCGAAACGCCATGCACTTAGAAGGAAAAAGAATTACAAATTAGAGAGATAGATGTCAAATTCCACGCGATATATATATATATATATATATATATATATATATATAATCGTTTTTATATTTATTTTATAATACTTTTGATTATTGAATTCGTTCGAATTGCGTGTTTCAGTCCACAGACATAAATAAGTAAGAATAAATCTTGCATTTAATAATTTTATTGCCGATTAAAATAGACATCACGCGAAGCCGTCTTTCGCGCGGTCGGTACACCGCTTTTTCCGTGCCGGTGCTTACTGCTTAACCGCATTAAATGGTTTTAATGGATTACTCCCGGATTACAAAAGCGAAAAAAAGAAACGTGGTCTTCCGGACGAGTCGGGGAGAGAACCCGGTTACCACGGAAGTGACGTAACAAAGAGAGAATAATTGAACGAGGCCACACGTCCGACACGAGGTTTTGCCTTCTCCTTGTCCGCCCTGCATCTTCCTCCCTCCCGTGTCGCGCCCCCCTCGCCGTCCCCTTTCGATCCGTCGACCGACACCGAGGCTAATGGTTTAATCCTAACATGGATGTTAACCAGATTACCGGCTACAGGTCCGACATGTGCCGTGCATTCGCCGCGGTTTCTACGGAACAAATTATCCACGATTACATGGATAATGGCGGAAGGCGTTGAACGACGAGGCGACGCGCAATGCCATGCCCGCCGTCAACCCCGTACGATCGTCCTCTACAATTTTCTGCATAGCCAATCCGGCTTTCTAAGCCGACGTAATAACGCGACACCATCATTGCCCTTCAAGCTCGATGGAATTTTGCATCTTTACTGCGGCAACCCGCTTTTCGTTTCCACCCTCGCGCGGTTATCGGGAGCTTATCACTCAAAAAGTCCGAGACTGGAGAACGTTCTGCAACGTTGTATACTATAACCGATCAACGCTAGACTTATACCTTAAAACAGTAATGTGAACGTACCGTTATTTCCTCTTAATGTGGATTATATGTCGCGAGAAATTGCAGGAAGTAAATCCGATTCACATTCAAAGGTGTTTCAGAGGGAATAAGTAAAATGACACGCGTTTCTCTTCTACCGTCATCTCGCGGTTCCTCGTGCTCTCTAATTTCCGCTTTTTTTTTTTATTACAACCGCAGCCGGAGAAAGAGAGTGAAAGAAAGTGGCGCCCTTTTGGTAATGCCACTGGCCAGGTCTTTTCGATATTATATTGCCCCTAAATTATGCCGTCGTAAAAACGTGATGAAGCGACCATAACTGCGGGTGCCCGGCAAATGGCTCGAAAAATCAAGGGAAACGGAAATAACGATCAACGAACGGACCGGGCAATATATTTGTTATTCACGGAACAGCTCACGCGGCGCGTCCATCATCCCAGAGGCTCGATATCTTTGATGCGCTTCGGCTGCGCATATATCGTCAATCATAGAAGGAAAATTTCAAAATTCTGAGACATTGATTTTCATTTGATATACTCACATATTTTTGCTATAGCAATTAATTCTTAACATGGGACGCCGTGTAGCTGATGTTGAATTTTCATGGAAACTTACATTCTTCTTGTGCTAACCAAAGAGCAAAGAATTCAAAAGGAAGATATATAGGATTCGTTAATATATTAATTATACAGCAATTGCATGATAGATAATATAATTGATACTATTTTACGTAATCGTAAAACTTGTAGGATGTTTTTATTCTCAAAATGAAAAGTTTGTACTAATTTCTTGCACTTCTTTTGGCGCAGATGATGAAGCACGGTTGGGACAATTATGTGCGATACGCATGGGGGAAAAACGAGTTAAGACCAATCTCGAAGAGAGGTCACAGTGCCAGTATCTTCGGTGCCTCAAATATGGGTGCGACTATCGTCGATGGACTTGACACTCTTTACATCATGGGTCTTCACGACGAGTTCAAGCAGGGACGCGACTGGATTGCCGAGAATCTGGACTTCGATATCGTGAGTACCATTTTCAATTACACGCCTCTATATTTGCGTATTTCTCAGTGACGTTTATCAGCGATATACTTATGCTGAGATAATTATCGAACTTTCAGTAAATCATTTTATATGTCTTTAAAAGTGGCATACAATAGTCCCATTTATTATAATCCCATTCTTACATTTAATTTATACTTGTAGAAATAGTTAAAACAATTAATTGAAATACTCAACTTTTAACAGTTAAAATAAATATTAAAATAAAGCAACTCCTATGAGTAAAAATAAATAATTAAAACGAAGAATGAAAAAGATGGATTGACGTGTTCTTTAAAAGGAATGATTTTGTTTTATTTTAATATATCGATAGATTAAATATTACGATAAATATATTTTTATAAAACTCATAATATGACGAAGCACATATTACTTTTAATAAACCTGTCAAATATTTTAGTCCCGTGGGATTTGGCTGACGTTAATCACGAGAGATCATGAGAGAATTTAACTATGCTAAATACATATATCTTTTTCCGTGTTAAATTTATTTCTTTCAAAAAATTATGAAGGACAGTTTCCTTTTATGAAATTAAATTAATTTAATATATTTTCTTAAAAGTAAGCATTCAAATAATAGAAATATGTTATATCATTCTTGTCATAACATTTGATACGATGTGAAAAATAATTCCAACAGAAGAATAAAACATAAATTTCGAATTTTAAATTTGCAAAAACTAATATTTTTTCTACGTATATTTCCTTGAGGAATTTCTGCAGTTTTTCCTTCCATGACTGCGAAAGTACAGTGATGTCTATCTAAGTGAAGGTATCACGATGAAAGTTCGACATTCGCCGACACGCGTCGAAACCAATTTCGTCCTGAGTCAACTTACCTGACGCAGCCATGTCATCGTCTCCTTTTTCGCGAGCCCCAACGGAAGCGAACTTTTGATATAGGCCCGCGTCTGCATACACTATTCCTCCTCCGTACCATCTTTCCTTTACTTTTGCGTTATACAACATGCCGGAAATGTGTTTGCTCGAAGAAGGTCCCGTTCTGACGAGATGTCGAAGACACCCTTCGATTTTCTCTCGGCGCGCCATCCATTCAGGTGAAATCTAATAAAGAAGTGGAATAACATTATTTTATAGACATTTCGGGACGAAAGTTTAATTATATATAATTATCTCGTTTTCTATCTCAAAATAGATTTTAAAATTAAAATTCGGTTTTTTAAATTCAAACATCCATAAATGTACAATTTTTTAATCGCAATTTAACTAGGTAAACATAAGAAGATATTATAATATTGAAAGAGAGTGAAGGAGAGGAAAAAAGCATAGAAGTACAATAACTTTTTTTTAATTAACTTTTATAAAAATCCGACATAATCTTTCAAAAATCGCAAACGTTCACTTTGTCACTGCGTGAATATGTCTTAATGGAAAACGGGAATCTTATCTTTAGAGAACAGGACCGCACTGAAATATCTCAAATCCCTGACTGGATCCAATATTTTCTCGATAAAATATCGCAACGGACCATTTTGTAGGGCACAAATTGTCAGCTTAAAGTTCCGACATAAAATATTTCATTATGACATCAAATATTCTCTTTATGCGACAAATGATAAAGCTTTAAAGATTTATTTAACAATGTATAATCCTTAAATAATTTTGCAAGTCTGTGGACAAAAATCTATCTTTCGATCTTGTTAAACTTCTGAGCATGCTAATACTTAATACATAATAAAATATTACATTTACTGTTAATAATAAATTTGAATATAATTAATAGTTAATAGAAATCGCATTTTCATTTTTTGTTTTCTTTACATTATATATTATATACATATATGGTATTATATACGATACATACATATATATATATATATATATATAGTGACGTAATGTAAAGAGAACAAAAAATAAAAATGCAATTTCTATTAACTATTAATTAGACGAGACTCGATATCATGTGATATCGATTCTCGTGAACTACCTACATATATTGTAATAATAGATACAAAGTAAAACATTGTATATATGTCTTGCACTTGGTACAACTAACTATATACAGATGAATAAATAAAATGTGTTATATAGTTATTTATAAATAATTGTTTTTTAAAGTTTGCCAGTAGATATATTTATTTCATTAAATATTCCTGCCATCAGAGTACGAAAATTAATAATTTCTGAAGATATGTTACCTTGAAGGAAGATCTGATAAACAACACATTTATGCGCTTAATTAACTTAATCGTTATGTAAATCGATGCCTGCGGTATTTCTCTGTCGGTGCGTGCGGGAAGAATAAACTCGAAACGTTTTCGCGTGGCAGTTTCGTAAGTACCGAGCCAGGAAACTTAGCCCGGTTTATCCAAAGTTGGTAACAGCCTCCTTGCACCCTCCGACTCCTCAAACTCTTCTCTCGCAATGTTCCGTTGGATTTCTAAGTGGATAACTTGCTGTATTAGCTGCTTTCGGCTTGCGGTAACCGGCGTGTCAACCGTGTTAGAAGTTATGCCTATTGTTTCGCGGCTGTTTCTGAAACTCTTTCGTCTCTCGTATCGTTTTGGCTGCAAGGAATGCAAAGTTACATCAAGGTACATTAGATACGAATCTACGACTCTTATCCTTTCATAATTTGCGTGTTTTTGTTTATCTGTTATTCATGCATGCATACACAGAAAGAAACATCTTTGTATAAAGAGATTTAAAAGATTTCAATTACAATATTTGTCACAATAATTGAGTTAGTCATTTGAATTATAAATATTTACATATTTATAGTTTAAGGGCTTTTTAATATTTTTCACTCTTTGAAATATTAAAAATATTACATATAATAAAATTAGTCAATTATATTTGTAAGCTTTAATTAAGCCAATATATTTAAAATACAGGTAAACATAAATTCTTATTCAGATATTTGAATAATATATCTTACCGTTACTTATATACAGGATATCCCAAAATTGTTATTGCGATCAGCATCTGAAATTGAAAAGGATAAGCATAACTTAAGAATATCCTGTATCTCACGTGCACGTTCAATAAGAACGATAAAGGACGAAATTAAAAGGCGGCACGGCAACGATTCATCTCGCGTGTGGTTATTCGCGTCTGGTCAGCGTGATAAATTCCAATGGTCGATATGAGCGAGAAGACCAAAGGAATACCGTGCAATCAAGCGCTGCGGTAGCGGCGCGACGCCAAGTATATAATATTATAAAAGTCGGGTGATGACTTGTGAGTATACGGCACTGGCACTGCGCTACCGCTTAGCTTTATCTCGAAGTTTTG